AGATTTATCGTAATGGCGGATTGAGATNATCTAATCCTTCCCACTGAATGATATATTTATATTTAAAACATTCAAACAATGAAGCTATTAATATATCTGTAAATTATTTTAAATGATTAAAAAAATTATTTGAATATTAAAAGTCTATATATTAAACTTTAATAATTATAATGTTAATATGAATTAGCTATGAAATGTTTATAATGTAATCGAGCCATAAATATATGGACTGATTGCATATCATGTCAGTCAGTGTTATTCAAACATTTAATATTATTTTGTCTGTAAGTAATGATGCATAAAATGCATTGTGGAAGCTGGTGCTATATAACTATCGGGAGTTCAATGTATAATATACATAGGTTAGGTTAGGTTATATGTATATGCTTGTGCGCACAGTTATAAGCACTACATGCGACAAAAGGATTCATAGCACTGAATGTTTGTAAATGGACATTTTTGTTACAAAATAAAGAATTTATTATGATTAATTTAAAGTATTTATATTAACAAAAATCAGAAATGTGTTTAACAATATACTAAATATTTTACAGCAAAATGTTACGTATTTTATGTAAGCTCAGTAATTTGATTATCATAGAAACAATTATATCAGGTTAGGTCGTGACCACAGGATCATTTATTGGTGTTCAAGATCATTTAAAATGCTACATAAATTAAAAAGACATGTTTATGCTTTAAGCCTACATATCACTGGTTACAATCAAGTGACAATTTTGATAGATAATTATAATAATAATAATACATAATATTAACTAGATAACATTTATAAAATAAAATTAATTAATTTATATCCAAAAACTTATATAATTTAATTATATTAATTGTGACTTTCATTATTGTAATTATTATTTATGTTTTAAAAATTTACTGTAAATAATAAATTAAAACATTTTTAAAAATGATTTATAGAATTCAATAAAATTACTGATAATTTAATTTGATAATTTATCCGATGATAGCAAGTTGATTTACCGATAACTGACATGTTTGAATTAAACATTGCATCTGGTTTATATTGGTGAACACTGGCACCGTAAGCTTTATAAAAAAAAATATTTATACACATTCACTTAAATTAAATTTTAAAATAAATTTTTATAAAATAATTTATATTATTCTCACTTGACCGGTACATTGTAGTGCCTATTTGAAAATTATAAATTAATTTGTTAGATTAAAATAGTTATAATTTTCAAAAATCTAATTTATACATACCGTTTGTATATAATACAATGAATTACAATATACGCAACCACTCTGTATAATATGAAATTATTTTATAAAAATTTGCAAATTATTTTTATTAATATATTTACCCCTACATTAGGTATTTGCGAGTTAAAACACATCTGAATAATCTGATTTAAATTAAGCAAGTAATTTCATTACAATATTAATATTTTATTTCATTATAAAATATTGCATACATTTCCCCGTTTAAGTCTATTCCAGAATATTCCGTTAACAAATGAGCTAGTTAGTAATATTGATACTAATAACTTTGCAAAAAGCATTTTGATATTAATTGAATTTGACAAGACTATTTTACTATATGACATATGATAAGCGTAACACATTTTATAACACTTATTCAATGCCTAATACACAAACTTGCATATTTTACACCTGATCAAATAATTTATATTTTTATACTTTATAATGATTAAAATAATATTTAATAAAATATTCATCCTAATATAATAAATGTATGTAAACTTTTTATACAGAAAAATATAAATTTATCATGTGATCATAATTTTATCCAAATCTTTACTAAAAATTTTGAAATATAATAGAAACTAGAATTTTAAAAAATAAAACTATTATTTACTTGGTAAACAAATATCTAGAACAAGGATCTAACTTTTCGTTTTAAAAAGTCATATTCAATATATACAATAAAAATAATACATTTTTAATAATATAATAAAATAAAATAATTTTTAATATTTAATTAATTTAGATCATTTTTCAATTTATGACTTGTACCATATTAATACAACAATAATTTTTATTTTGCGTAATTATTCCACAATTTACATTAAATATTTTGACATAAACAAGGACTTAATTCCTTATACAGAAAACAAAAACCTTTTAAAATATTTTGTACAATGCTTAGATTACTTCAAAATTTATGATATTTTATCAACTTTAATTGTTTAAACTCATATAAAAAGTGTATTACATTTCACATTGAGCCAACACTCACAATAGTTAACAATACAATGCAATTCACTATATTTTCTGTAATACTAGCGTTGGGCCAGTGTTTAGCACCGGACACCCATTGGGAATCTAAGGCCAGGAGTGACCAGGGTTGGATTGACAGGCATAACTGGCTCATCGCACAGACCGTCCAACATAAAGCTTATGAGCGACTCCATCACCCAGTTCTGAGAGAATGTTGGACGGGTGACGTGGGACAAGTACTACGCGCCCAGACATGCCTACAATTACGGCATTTAATGTTAAGTCTATGGGAAGTTGTTTGTGATAAAATTCTTTGGTATATATGCCCTTGTTAAGATAATTAATTTTTTAATCAAATATCAATATACGCAATCTATCAATATATTTATTATATTAATATAATAAATATAATAATTTAATATAATATTTCATATCTCATTTGAAAATTTTAAGATAAAGGTTTATTAATAAATTGATAGTAAATGGTTAATAATTTGTAATAATAACTCAAATAATTAAATTACTATAAAACATTGTATTTTAGAGAGTATTGTAAGTAAGCATACTTTACCGAGATAAGTGGTTCTATGCTGAATAAATTCATATAATGTTTATGTGAATTAACTTAAGGATTGATATTTGATTAAAAAATTATCTTAAGAACACACATACCTAAAATATTTTATCACAAACAACTTACCAGGAATACTTAATTACAGTCTATATATAAACATATACGTGGTTTAAAAAATCGATTTTTTGTGCAACGGTTACCCCACTTAGAATTTAATGATAAATAGGATGCACATTCGCATTTGTTCATAAATACAACCTTGATGAATATAATATATAAATAGAGAATAGTATTTTTAAAATTTAAGTAAATTCACTCAATCAATATGAAGTGGATAGTATTTAATGTGATTATCCAGGTATTTGTCACATGTGTCCGGGCGAGTGACAAAGTGTTTTGGTATGAAAGTGCGGCCGCGGACGGCATGAATGAGGCCCTGCCTATCGGTAATGGAAGGATAGGTGGACTGGTTTATGGACACCCGGGTTAGTCATAAATAAAAATATTTTTAAATTTTCTAAAGAATTAAATATACAATTAGTTATAAAAACATATTTAAAAATTATTTAAAATAAACTTTGGATTTAAGATACGAAACACAATTAGTTTAGAGTTATAATAAAAATATAATTTATGTATAAATAAAAAAATTATGTATATACCGGGTAAAAACTATAGAATTAGAGAGAATAAATATGAATGAAATAACTTTATGGACGGGCGATGACAACCCCTCCCAAGAGTATGGCGGACCCGGTTTTGGTGACAAAAATATTCTCATTGTTTACTGAGCCGAAACGTGACGGAATGCAAACAAGTAGAAAGCAAAACGTGCAAGGTACAATGCGAGGGAAAGTGTCCCAACAATTGCATGGATAGGGTTTATGACTTCAATATCGTGGAGTCCAAAGCCCTGGATCCACAGTGGGATACCATTGAGTTTTTCCATAACACTATTCTTATTATCCTTGCTAATTATCTCACATTTCTCAACTGGATAAATAAATGACCATGATGCTATTGCTAATAATAAAATTTGTATATGCCAAAAACCTTAAAGTTAATTAATATAACTTTAGCTATAATGATTTAATATTTACATTTAGATTAATATTTTGATATTTAATTAAAGATTAACATACATTTCATATTTTTAAAAATTGTTTTTGTTTATATAATATTTATTAGACACATATGTTATGATTAATTTATTAGTTATTTAATTAAATTACACCATTTAAATATTTAGCGCGATTATCAAACATTATCAATATTTCTAATTGGTAATTAGTTTGGTTACAGTACTTTATTATTACATATTAAACAGCCTATTAAATGTTTTGACTATAATCTATTAAACAAATCGACAAATAATATATAAATATACAAGGTAATTAATTTGTACTTGGTAATGTGTAGGTCAGTAAAATAATTATATTGTATCACATTTAAAATTATTACTTTAATAAACTGTTACTAAATATCCATATTAAAAATTATTTAGCATGTAATATATAATTAAAATGTTTGATCTAGGTCATTCATTTTAAAAACTAAAATATCATTTTGTTTTCGGGATTAATTATATTTGTTTGTAAATAATTTTCTACATTTAACATAAACAATTGTAATCATTTTATGATTAAATAAATCTTTTCACAATTGATTGATTAAAAGAAATATTTTTATTGCATGTATTTCTAAGACAATTATCTATTTCTCTCACATTTCTTACAATTATATTATTTTTATGAATAGTAACACTATTGTGGTTTAGAAAAAGTAATTTAAATATGCTCATACAGGTACAGGTGCAGCTCCATGGGCTAGGCAAGATACTGGTGGTGCTCAGGGTACCTGTCCCGATGCGGTAGCTTTGTGACCAGGAGTTCTGGTTAGTGGTGACCCCGTAGTGGCAGGTCCTACATTGGCACCGGTAGTTGTCAGGGTTCTCAAATCTCAAGGTTCAAACAGGATATTTATGGAATCGGTCATATGCTCAAAGAAATATTTTCAAAAATTTTTGTGGATTTGTAAAATTTTGAAAATATTTGAAAATTTCATACCTTTGTTGTCTAGAAGCTTACAACAATACCTGGTATATAGGGTACAGAGTAATCAATTTCTCATATGATCAATATAAACGATACATATCCTGATATTTCATAATTAAACTTTTATTTCAAGATTAAGTAAAATGACATTTTCTCTACGGAATTGGATTCAGATTGTGATCCAAATGAATCGGTTTACTCGGAGACACTGTAATCGTTTTGACAGTATTTCCATATTTGATATTAACATCACTGGCGACAACACTCGTAATCAAAACATTATTCAACGTATGATTAGTCCAATAGATATCCAACTGATGTCCGCCTCTGGCCCGCAGACCTTTCGCGTGTCCCACCGCCCAATCCCGGGGCAGAGCCGGCAACAGTTGGACCACTTGTTCGTGACTATGGAGAAGCATTTCGGCGACGGCTCCGGTAATACCGAAGTTGCCATCGATTTGCATCGGAGGGTGTAATCCAAACATATTGGGACAGGTATTTCGATCGGACAACAACTCGCGGAGTAAGTGGTGGGCGTTCTCGGCATCCCTGAGCCGGGCGTATATGGCTGTGCGCCACGCGAACGACCACTCCCTCACATCACTGGATGGGTCTATACCTCTGGCATTAAGCGACACCTATTTGTTGTGGTTATTGGATATAAACAGTGAACACAGTGTTTGGTATAAAATGGGCTCATTTGAAGGCATATACCCCTAACCCTGAAGGTTGGCATCACTGCCTTATCCTTTTGGTAGGTTCAGTTCGGGTAGGTTGGTTACAATTCAATACAACCTACCCTATGGCAACTTATCATTAGGGTGGTGTAGTGAACCGAAGCTATAGGTGTGGGGTATATGTCCTAAGGTTAGCCTAAATTATTCATATATATCGCGATGAATACCAGGGACGCGTTGGCCAATGTGGGAGTTGTCTCCCAATTGAATTGGTGTCCCGGAAATACGCCAAACAAATGGGAAGTATGTCTGTGATGGTCGGTCTTCTCGCCCGGTTGTTCTTCCATCCATTCCATCAATTGTCCGAACGATCCAATCCCTGGCCATAACAGCCTATCCCTCTCACCCGCCACGCGATCCCTGAACTCCTTGTCGACCCCCAACACGTCCGCCGCTTTCACGTAATTTGTATACAAATCCCAAACGATCTCATTATTATAACTGCAGCCGTCCTCATGGGGTCCATGTTCTGATGACCAACCATTAGGGACAACCAGTTTTCCCAACTGTTGTTTAGTGCCGTTCGTCACAGTCTTCAGCTGCTCGTCCCAGAACTCGGACACCTCTTTCAGGTAAGGATAAGCCACGTCCTTTAGATATGTCTTATTCAGTCCGAACGCGTAATGTTCCCAAAAGTGTTGCGCATACCTGTGCTCGATGTAAAAAATTATTTTAGATTGTCAGAAATAGAGTGGGAGGGGAGGGGTAGTAAATATAAAAATTAAAAACTAAAACTAGGTCAAACGATCCGTAACCCATTATATACGATACTCATTATTTGTCGTCATACATACCAAGCAGTATTCGTCTTATCCCATGAAAAGTGAGTACCCATTCCTCCATAGATATTGTGCGGACCGGCAACGGCCACACCTTTTGACGAATGGTTTCCCCGCGGCGTTAGTAACTCATCGGAAGCTCGGGTAAGTTTGCGCCAAATGTTCAATTGGCTTACAATCAGATTGAACAGGGGCACATGACATTCAGCAAGGTTTGTTGTCTCTGCCGGCCAGTAGTTCATTTGTACATTGATGTCTGTGTGATAGTCAGCGTGCCATGCGGGACTATTGTTGTCGTTCCATAGACCCTGATCATTTGTAAATTATAAGTGATATAGTCAATATATAAAAAGACATTTATCCGCATTTCTGTTTGGGATAGAAGCGGATACTAGAATAATATACTTAATAACCCGCACCGACTTTAGTCTGGCTGCTAAATATAAATGGTGAAAATTTATCTACATAAAAATCATAATAGAGATTATTCACAGACTGACCAACTGTTTTAGATGGCAGTCAACTATTTTATATAATATGCGTTTATAGTGTAATATTGGACACTGTATGTCCACTATTTTTGTAAAATTGACTTATTTAGAAAAGCCTTCATTATCAAATTCTAACATCATTATAATTTTCTAGGTGTTGTTAAAAATTAAATCAGACAATCCATGCACTTGTTTGTATAATTTATATATATATATATATATATATATATAATAATCTGAAACATTTTGTGAAAGACCTGTAAGTTTGCGGGAAGACTCGTTCGCGACGACGATATCATGAGATACCTTCCGAATTGAAAAAACATTTCTTCGAAATCCGGATCGAATGTAGCGACGGCTTCGACCTTCCGTTTGACAGTCGGTAACGCCGTCTGTTGTGCCGACGACTCACCCAAATCGACGTCAACTCTATTGAACAACGAGTGGAAGTCCGCCACGTGTTCGCTACGTAGGGTGTCGTACGACTTGTCCGCCGCCTTCGCCACCCACGCGTTGACACTAATAGCCGGGTCTTCGCCGGACTTAAACTTTTTCTTGTCGTCAAACACATAGTCAGTACCGGCGCTTACGATGAGTGTCAGGGCGTCGCAGCCGTTGAACTCAATGACCGAACCGTTAACTTTAAGACTTCCACCCGTGTTTTGGACTAACATTTTCCACCCAAACCACAACCCATTCACTAGTTTGCCGTTCGCTGCGATTGTATTGTTCACCACCTGTACGGTTAGTTTATGCGATTCCTGTATTTCTATGCGTCCGGTGTATGCCTTTCCCTTATCGGCGGTCAACCGGCCGACAAATACCTCCGACACGTGACTCACAAAGTATTCCCGTTTGTATTGAACGCCATGTGATTCGTACTGAACGGTCGACACGGCGTCCCCGATATCCAGCGCCCGCTTGTACTGAGTGTTGACCTTATGTTCGGGTAAATCGACGACAATATTACCCAAAGTCTGGTAATCACCAAAACCGGGTCCGCCATACTCTTGGGAGGGGTTGTCATCGCCCGTCCATAAAGTGATTTCATTCATATTTATTCTCTCTAATTCTATAGTTTTTACCCGGTATATACATAATTTTTTTATTTATACATAAATTATATTTTTATTATAACTCTAAACTAATTGTGTTTCGGATCTTAAATCCAAAGTTTATTTTAAATAATTTTAAAATATGTTTTTATAACTAATTGTATATTTAATTGTTTAGAAAATTTTAAAATATTTTTATTTATGACTAACCCGGGTTTAATTAACTTTAAGGTTTTTGGCATATACAAATTTTATTATTAGCAATAGCATCATGGTCATTTATTTATCCAGTTGAGAAATGTGAGATAATTAGCAAGGATAATAAGAATAGTGTTATGGAAAAGCAAAAGATATGTGTGGACCCGGATAATGTTAACAAGAATAATACCACGAAATACGGTAAAAATTAATATTAATAATAAACTTTATAATGTTAATTAACTTTATAAAGTGTTTAACATGTTTACAAAAATTTTTGCTTGTTAAAATAGTTTTGTTCCAAAAATAAATGGAATCATGATTTTTAAGAACCACAAATCTGTTTAAATAATTCAAACTGTAATTAAATTACTTTTAAGATATTAGATATATCTAGAAATATATAATTTTAATTTAATCTAATTTTAAATTAACTTAATTATTAAATGACAAAATAACTAAATAAATAATTATTATTTAATTATAATATTACAAATTAGCTACTTTTAATTAATTTT